CCTCCTCCTCCTCCTCCTCCTCTTTGCCTTTGTGTCTAGGCCCGGTTTCCCAGCTTCCTTCCCAGTTGGGTGCAGCCTATTGTCATATTCTCCCTAGTGGACTGGAAGAGGAAGTGAGGCCTGCTCCTCCCAGGTCGGGCTCTCCTGCTTACCTCAATGTTCTTTTCACCCCTGGCTGATGGCAAGGCTGACTCCCAAAGCAAAGCTGGCAGCCACGTATTCCAGAACGGCAGAGCCAGCAGACTGCACACCCCTAAAAGAGTCTGGGCAGGAGCCACCTCACAGACCTCACATCGGAGTGGAAGGCTGTTAAGTGAACAAGAAGGACACATCCTGGGGTTGAGGTGCTGAATGAAGGAAACTTGCTGTTTGCAAGTTCTGTCCTAAGCGTGGCCTCCTTGCTGATTCCTCTTGCTTTGTCCCAGGAAAGTCCTGGTTGTTATTGCAAACCAAGGCATGAGCGCTTTGACGCCATGTAGTATCAGGAGGCAGACACCAGATTCCTGTCGACTTCCCTGATAGCCCCATGGTGTGCCCCCCTCACACCTGCCTCTGCAGCCCTAGCCCACAGATCCCACGAGTTTGGCCTGAGATGTTTTCAGTCTTGATCAACAAAGAGTCCCAAGGCTGGACCAGATCTGTGAGGCCATCTTATTTCTGCCCCTGGCTCCAGAGAGAAGCTCTTCTAAGTCACCTGAGATGATCAGGACTCTCGTCTGTGTTTTTGTATTGCAGGGGAAGAGACACCAAGCCCCAAAAGGCAGTGACTAGAAGGATTGCTGGTGGCATTCTTCAGAAACCTACTTGCCAGAAAGGGCCATTTCCCTTGGTATAAAGCTGCGGTTATATACCAAAGTCCATGCTCACCTCCAGACTCCTCTATTCCCTGGTACCTGTTATGAATATCAAAGCCCCCACACTAGCCTTCTGGTCCTTCTCACTCCCCCCCCCCCCCCCCGCCCCCACGATGCTAGCTCCCAGGCTGTCCCAATCCCTCCTCCCACCCTGCAGCTACCTGTTCTCCGTGGGGTTTTCCCACTCTTGCTTCATCCCCTCATTCTTTCCCCATGTTTTTTTCTCTGCTCCCAAGGCCAGTGTAATCCTCTTGTATCCCTTTGTCCCTGAGAGGGAGCCACGGCTGCTTTGGACTTCCCAAATGCCTCTGATTATTATTTTTTTCTTTCACATTTACAATACACCTTTCTTTCAACTGTACCCATGGAGTGGTCCAGTTTGGTGGTTTCACTGTGCCCCACTTTTATGTCCTTAGGCACCTGTTACAACAGCCTTGCCCCTGCACTGTAAAATATCAGGGACAGAATATTCCGTAGCAATCATCTAGGACAGTCTGTTTTAAAGACGAAGAAGGTAAGGCCCAGATCAGTTAAACGGTGTTAAAATCAGGAGAAGAAGCAGTTTCTAAGACCAGGCTGATTGCTGTTTGCAAGTTTCTGCCCCAAGTATGGCCTCCCTGCTGATTCCTCTTGCTTTGTCCCAGGAGAGGAAAAGGTACCAGGACTCATCTACACTGTGGTCAACCTTCTCAGGGTCCCCCCTGGGTCTCCCCCTTTATCCACTGGTTAAGCTGGCAGTTATCCTGAATGTTCCATTGACTTAGATGGTAGAGAGATTAGAGAGATAAATCTGAGGCATAATGGGAGGAGCAGGTGGCAGGTGCAATGCCCTGGGGCATCCATCGGGAGGCAAGGTGAGATTCCCAAGTGAGCTTTCTGAATGCACATAGAAGTCTTGAAACCTTTAAACTTTCCTGTTTGCCTGAAAGGGTGACTTGGTCTTTGGCTAGTCTTCCTTCCTGTTGAAGGGAGGGAGCTGAAGAGACCAGAGCCTCTGAGCACAGTGTACTGGCCGGTTGGAGCTTGTCTAGCTGGATCTGGGCTGCGGCATAGTCCTGCCCGTTAACAGGAGCTGTGTCCAAAGATGTTGAGCTGGGTCCATGCTTGGATTTATTTATTTATTTATTTATTTATTTATTTATTTATTTATTTATTTATTTATTTATTTATTTATTTATTTATTTATTGAAAGGTCTGAACACTTCATGTGAGACCTGAAAAGTTAGGTTTCTTCTGTGCTTCCATAAACCCAACCCTAAACCCCAATTCTCTGCTCTCTGCTCACTGGTCTAAGGTAAGCTCGTTTATACCGAGCATCCTTTGTTTTCTGCCAAATGACTCACTCATACTGAGTCACCAGAAAATGGGTCTAGGCCCATCTGCAGCTGCCCTGGACATTCTGATCTCGGTCCCCTGGAGGTGGGTCATGGAGGCTTGGAGACAGAGGGAGGCAGAGAAATGGGGGGAAAGAGACAAGCCCGTTTCCTGAGCACTTGGTAAACAAAGGACCCCAGCACATCTGAGAGCATCCCGAGGGAGCTGTGGTTTCCATTTTGGTTGAGACATTGTCTGAATTATTGACAACTGTAAACTATGAGGCAAGAACGAAGCCACATGGTCGTTCAGTGAGAAATCCTTTAATTGTTGCTTCTTCTACAGCCTTAAGCAAGTTGTTTCCCCATTTTGAGCTGCTCTTTCTTACAAAGAGATCTGGGTCCTAAATTTTGGACACTGTATCATTTGTTTTCTAGGGGCGGGGAACTTTTTAAACCAGCAAATTTATTGACACCCATTCTTGCAACATCGCCCTTTCTAAAGATTTCCTTTCAACTTCAGTGTAGGCTGTGTATCGTTTTTTTTTGTTTCATTTGCAAATTGCTGTCCTTTTCCTTGCTGTGGGTTTGCCCCTCCCCCAGCCTCAGTTCACAGTTTTCTTTTCCCCGTGGCCTGTTGGAGTGTCCCAGCAGCGACATCTCTGCAGAACTCCGGTGTAAGCCAAAGACAGTGACAGCAAGGGAAAGGAAGAAAGCTTGTGAACCTCAAAGAAGATGAGGGTTCCCGCCTCAGACACCCAGGGGGGCTGACACAAGCTTATCACTGGCGCAGGGGACCCAAAAGGGGCAACGGTGGGTTGGGGCCTCTTTAGAGCCTTAAGGGCAACGCAGGCGCATGGTGCTGAGCAGGGTCTAGGCTCCACTTCTCGGTCCTCTGAAATCACGCTGTATCCATTACATTGCCAGGACCTACTTTTCGCAGACCTACTGTGTGACTAAGGAGCTGGGAAAGTGCCCCCCACCCCCCACCCCATTCCATTTCTCTAAAACCCAAAGCGATGCTCCAGGGCGTGGGCCCATGACAAAAGTTGCGCGGGGGCTCCATGAGCTCACCCGGGGGTTCCGTGAGCTCACCCGGGGGACCTAGACCGCCCCCGCCCTCTTCCTGCCCTCTCCCCGCCCCCGGGCCCCCGCGCGGGGCTGGTGATGTCAACCGAGGAGGAGCCGCCCGCCCCGCGACCCGCCCGGGCTGATTGGCGTGTGGTGGTGGCGCCGGGGCCGCCTCCGCCCTCCCGCGGCTCGCACAACTTTTGCGGCT